TGCAAAGACTCCCTTTTGTGCTTCGCACACGGGAGTCAATAACATTTGTAAATCATTGAAATATTGCCAATTTTGACTGTAGAAACACTTCTGTAATTTACATAAGCACATGTGCTATTAATAGAACGAATACACACATGTATAAACACATTGTACTGAAACCTTCTTTGAAGATGCAATATGTAAAAAAAAAAAAACACATTTTTTTAATAATGTTGTTCAATATACTATATACGGTTTATCATAAACTGAACACCGCTGATATGCATGCACAGTGACTGTTATTGTACGTACCAAAACAACCAGTGCACATGGGAATTAATAATTTTATCGTTTCAGCGAACAAATACTGTAGACCACGTTGAAATAGCTGCATGCAATTTTAGCAGATTTGACTCTTGGCATGAATTAACAGAATCTTAATTTAGCTAAAGTGTTGACTATCTCATTGCAAGAATATACTTTATGTTAAATTAGCTGCATTTTGAATTAGCGAAATTACAGATTAGCTAAATTAGCTAAAATAACATGCTAGCTAAAAAAAACATGTTTTACAGTACTCAGATGTGTGGTACAAGAACAGTGTTTTTATTTCATGATAAAACATAGCCTAATGTATCTGTTTATATGAGAGTATAAAACAACAATATTAAAAATTACACGTTCTTGTCCATGTTGCATCTTTAAATTTGCAAAAGACAAAATTTTATAATAACAGTGAAAACTTCCCTGGGATCTAAAAACACAGATCACAGCAACTTTTAGCAGAATTTTGTCTTCACAAATATCATTCAATTGGCAAATCATTCACAGTAATTTAAATAACAATACACATTTGAGCTTCCAAGTTGAAATTTATAAATCAGCACACTGAAATAAAGCAGTACACATGCTCACTCACAATGGTCCAGTCCAAAGAAAACAGCACCATCACAGGTGGAATTTAATATACATGTAGAGGGCACGATACCCAACATATGGTCCACCTTAGTAAAAAATTTCATTTGATTTTTAATTTTATCAAATTAATCTTTACGTATTGATGATAGGTTCTGTTTATTAGTTACAAATATATATTATACACTCTAGTTAAAAAGTACCAGCTAATTTATTCTGTGTTCTTAGAACTGATGCACATGATATATTATATCAACAATATTTGGAGGGGGTGAAAAACAGAGAAAATCAAAATTATTGAATAAAAAAGGTTATAAGGGATGCACCAATTTAAAGAGAGGGGGGTCTGAAATATATCTGAAATTGTGAAGTGCAGTATATTAACAGCCAACTCAAGTGATGTTTACAAATTTTGCATTGCTTTTGTAATTCTTCATCATTGCTATTTGATAACATATTACTTTTTGCCACATACTTAAAAAAACTACTTGATTTTTGTCACATACTTGAGTAAACCTATTTGTTTTTTGTGACATACTTGAGGAAACCTATTTGCTTTTTGTGACACACTTGAGGAAACCTATTTCCTTTTTGTAACATACTTGTGGTTACTTATTTGCTTTTTGTGACACACTTGAGGAAATCTACTTGCTTTTTGTAACATACTTGTGGTTACTTATTTGCTTTTTGTGACATACTTGAAGAAACCTGGTTGCTTTTCGTGACATACTTGTGGTTACCTATTTGCTTTTTTTCACATACTTGAGGAAATTGACTTGCTTTCTGTCAAACAATCAAGGAAACCTATTTGTTTTTTGTCACATACTTGAGGTAACCTATTTGCTTTTTGTGACATACTTGAGGAAACCTGGTTGCTTTTCGTGACATACTTGTGGTTACCTATTTGCTTTTTTTCACATACTTGAGGAAATCTACTTGCTTTCTGTCAAATAATCAAGGAAACCTATTTGCTTTTTGTCACATACTTGAGGTAAGCTATTTGCTTTTTGTCACAAACTTGAGGTAAGCTATTTGCTTTTTGTCACAAACTTGAGTTAAGAAGAAATAGTAATTCTGGAATGAATTCAAATATTTTGACGCAAACAACGTTAACTAACAATGCAATGTCACATGGTTTTGGCAGCTATAGAAATATAAATGCTATGAATTGCTCACAAAGTTTGTGGAATAATCTTTTATCTGGTCGCTTTTGTGACATTGTCTATCTCTCAATCAATATCATCCGTACCTTAAGTCAGACATCATGGCCATTTATTAATTATAAATAAATGTTCATCTTGTCTTCTTCATGGGTTATTTATTAAAATCATTGGGGGGGGGGGTCTGTGTAGGCAAAACAAATCACATGGACAATGCAAGAACAAAACCAACAGAAAAATTTTAAAAAGAAAATCCTACACACATGTGATCTTCAGCAAAATCACCAGTAAAACATCAAACATTCTGGAAATAAGTGAAGAGAAATAAAAAAATAATTTGCACATTTGTTCTCCCATCTTGCCACACAGAGTTCACATGCACAAATTATTCCCTGTCAAACAGAAACCACAACATATATAATTCAGTTGAATGCAGTGTCTATATCACTGATTCATATCAAGAATTACAGTGATACAGCTCTTACATCACTTGTTATTTTCTCCGGGTGAACAAAGAAAAATATAAGGGAATAACACAAATGCAAGTATAGCTTGAATTGTATCCAAAGCATGACTATATTAAACCCTCAGGCTAAATCCAACTAACATGTAATCAGTAAGGGAATTAAGTCTCAAAAGAATTCATTAAAATTAAAAATGACTTATTTTTACAAAGGTCTTCATAATACATGTGATTTCTCCCCAGGCAGTTTACACCATTTAGTTTTAAAGCTATCACATACAACAGATCAAAAAATCACTGTCCAGCAGACGAAATGATTAATGAGTCGACACTCAGCTTAAACTGAATAAAAGATGTGATACAATTCTCTAGCGTCTTAATTTAAACATTTGGTCTGGTCTGGTCTGATGAGCTGAGAAATATTCATTTAATTGACAGTCAGAGGGCACACATTTTGCTCAAGTGGAAACCCCTACACAATATAACCATATAAATCTAGTCTTCACAGCCATGAAGACATTGCTGTAGATGCATTACACTTATTTTACATCGGCATGGCAAAAAACAAAAAAAACAAAACACCATAATTGATTATCTTGTAGCTTGAGAAATATAAAGTCAATCACAGACTTTCGCTCTTAATTAAAACAATAAAGTTAATAACAATAAGCATAATAATGTGATGAATGGTAATATTAAATAAAAAAAATATACAACCCTCCCCAAAAAATCACAAAGTTACCTCTTCAATGCAACATACATAATTAAGTTTAATCACAAATCATCTATTTTTTAAGAGTTAAAGACACTTTTTTTTTCAGAGAACTGAACTTGACATCATGGTAGTGGTGAGACACTGTTTGATATTCTTAGAAGTTGAAAACACTTTTCTTAAAACCAAACCTGATATCATGGTAGTGGCAAAGACA